TCGGAGGATATAGTAGTTAAGGTTAAAGAATCTTTAATTGAAACATCATAGCTCATTGTTGAATTTTTATTGATGTGTTTACGCCATTTTATTTTTAGAATATATCACAAGGTAGCTTATCACCTTTTAGTGGAAAGTTATTACAGAGAGGAATATCAAGTCCGGGACAAAATTTTTTGGAATCTCTAAACGCTAAGCTAGCCATTCAACAACAAGTTCAACAAAATCAGATAAAAATACATAACGCAACCAGAGTGAGACAATTATTTGCTGGAAAAACTGTATCGGATCCAACCATTTGTCACGATTCCCTGATGGATCAAATAAAAAAAGGCACATCGTTGAAAAAAACAAGAACGGTTAATGACAGATCAGCTCCGAAAATTCATTAAAGTTTTTTTTAACAAAAAAAATTTCAATTACTTATAAAAATATCAATTATTATTAATAATTTATATTGTATTGTAAAAGCATTTTTAGTTTATCTGCATACCAAAGCATATGTATAAAGCATGTAATGTAGTTAAAATGCTTGTATAATTTTATATAATTTAACCTTGCTTTATATATAAATATATATATATATATAAATTTTATACATTTTAGTTAAAAATAATAATGGTTAAGTATAACATACATATTTTTTCAGTATAAACTATAATAAATGAAAAAGTTCTATAGAATTTCACAATTGAATTTCAGTGTAAATTTAATATTATATAAATAATATATATATAATGTACGTATGTAATCATTTGTTCTTACCTAGTAAAAATATTTTGATGCAAAATTTATTATTTTATTTAAAATAAAATCTCCATTCTTAATTTAGAGGGTAAAAATAATAAAAAAGTACCATTTTTGTTTTTTATTATATTCGTTTTATTTTACAAAACATATGTTACATTAATATTTTTTATATCTGTATTAATTACATTATAAATATTTTTTTTTTTCTTAAATCCCTTAAATTTTATTTAATTTTTTTCAAAAAGAAGAATTTAAATTTAAAAAATTTTAACAAATACTAATATAAAAATTTAAATATTTTGTTTCGAAAGTAATATAGTATCGAAAATAATCGAAACATTTTTGCTTAGTAAACAAAATTTAATTGTTATTAAGTAGTAAGCCATTACTGTAAATAATGTTTACAAGTAAAATTTTGTGAAATGATTTAAAAAGTTCAAAAACAAATTAAGTTTTACTTAATGAATAACTAAACTGATCTTTTGTTTTCTTATAAAAAGAATTTTTATTGTTTAAAAAAAAAAAAATTATGGTTTAAGAGTCTACAAAAAAAAAATTTTTTTTTAGACTTTTTATTTTGTTGTTACTCTTGATCTTTTATTCCAAGAAAAATTGAAACCATATGATTTTACTTTTGGTTTAGTTTTCTTTTCACTGTCTAAATACCATTTATATTTATTTTTTTCCGCATACCTAATAGCTGATTCTTTGTCGGGAAAACTAAGTTTCATATTCGAAAGTGGATCACCTCTAAAATATAAAATAAGTTACACTAAAATGTTCTGACATGATTAAAATTTTTAAATAAGTAACAATTACAAAAAGTTATTTTAAACTTACGTGGAAGACCAACCCATCAATGGATTTTCCCATCTGGGTCTTGTTTCAAATTCCAATTCCCAGCATCCAACATTGTCTGTACCAGATTGCATGGCATTTTTCGGTGTGGTGTAAATTCTTACTAATCTCTCTTTAATTAAAAAATTTTATGTGTATTAATTAAGAGTTTAAATTTTATTTTCATTTAAACTTTAATAATCACCGTGAATATGTTCTTCTGGAACTCCAGTGACTGGGCTTATGTCTAAAGGACCTTTTACTGTAATTGTATTGTCTTCTTTTGGCAGAGTTTTATGTGTAACCTCCACATAATCTAAAGTTTTTAGGCCAGTGTAAGAATATCCGCATTTTGGAACAGTAGAAGATATCACGGAACTTCTGAAAAAATTATTTAAAATGAAATAAGTATTGTAAACAATAAGTTCATAAAATCTGGGGTCAAAAAATAAGTGAATATTTAAAATACTTGCCTCGTTAAAGAATTTACGTTTTTTTGAATTAAATTAAGAAACATTATAGAGCAGTTTTAATAATTCTGCTGAACGATGCAGTATATTAATTCTATTTTGTACAGCTGATTGACAATTTTTCTTAATCTCTGCTAACTTATCTACGAACCATAGACGTCACACTTTAAAAGCTTGAAAAAATTTTTATCATCTTTTTTTTATTTTTATATATTTACCTTAAAAATAAATTAAACACAATAATTATAAAAATTTTTAAAAAGAGGATAAAAAGGTAGTAGTAATTTTATTAAATGTGTTAAAAATATTATTAAATAAATTTATGAGAATATTTATGAAAAATAGTTCTAGGAGGCTTTGTTGCATTTAGTCGTCTGCTCTTTTAAAAAAGTTCAATTTTATTTATTTTGATTACTTTACTACATTTAATTATTATGTTAAAAAGAGCATTAACCCAAGGTAATTTTTATTTTTTACCAGCAGACTTATATATACTTATATATCGGATTTATGCTAAAGTATTAATTTTATAAAATATAAATTTAAAAATATTTAGTCAAAATAATTTATTTCTCTTTTCAGAGAGCTTTAACAGTAAAGTATTCTCTTGGCTGCAAATCAGTAATAAAAATGCGCATCCCTCTTTTTTAGTTTCTAGAAAAGGGGCTACTGATTGTCAGCGTAAGTATTAAAAAATTACTTTTTTATGTTGTTTTGTTTTAATATCGAATACAATTTTTTTTTTACTTGATATTTCAAATAATACTTGTCGAGTAATAAAATTTTTCAGTATTAATATTGACCATCAATATCAAATTCTTAAAAAATTTAAGATAAAGTTAAAATTTTTACAGGTGAAGAGTTTTCAAAATACTTTTATTATTAATTAAAATGATTATTGTTTTATTTTTTGTAGCCACTCAAGATGTACCGAGAAAACCATATTCTCCTTTTCAAGATACTAAAAATTTAGGCGAATATGTGTTAGCTAGAACAGATGATTTTATTAACTGGGCCAGAAAGGTAATGATTGTGTTTTTTATTTTAGATTCACTCTTAACTGTTTCAATTATATTAATTTTTTTTTTTTAGAGTTCTATATTTCCTTTAACTTTTGGACTGGCATGCTGTGCTGTAGAGATGATGCATATGGCTGCTCCCAGATATGATATGGATCGTTTCGGTGTAGTATTTAGAGCTTCTCCTAGGCAAGCAGATTTAATTATTGTGGCTGGCACCTTAACAAATAAAATGGCTCCGCTTTTAAGGAAAATTTATGATCAGGTAATATGTTATTGAATTAATTAAGATATTTATGGCTTCAAAATGTAAATTCTTAGTATTATAAATTTAATTTAAGTACTTGTTAATTGAATATTCTAAGTTAAGGAGACAAAACACTCTTTTTTAAAACATCAAATTTTTCTAGATGTTATCTCCTAAATGGGTCATATCCATGGGAAGTTGTGCAAATGGAGGTGGATATTATCATTACTCATATTCAGTTGTAAGAGGTTGTGACAGAATCATACCTGTGGATATATATGTTCCAGGCTGCCCTCCAACTGCTGAAGCTTTATTATATGCTGTACTACTTTTACAAAAAAAAATAAAAACTAATAAATATGCACAGTTAGCTTATAGGAAGTAAAATTATAACTTTTTAGTTCAGAAAAATGAAAGATTATTATTTATTTTTTTTTTTTCCAAAAATAAAAATATTTAAATATTTTAAAAACTATTTTCTTTATTAACTTGAAATTTTTTAAAAAATATTTAAAAGCTGTTGCTGATTTTGTTAAAAAACATATTATTAGTTACCATTACTTAAATATATTTGATTTTATTACTGATAAAAATTAATGATAAAGTGATAATTTCAAATTTTACAATTCAATTTCCAAATTTTAATTAAGCCTTTTTATTTCCAATTAGAATACACAATTTGATTGAATAAAAATGATATCATTTAAAACTCGATACAAGTTTTTCCATTGAAAATGAATTTATTTGAGAATTATGTGAAATTACTTATTTTAACAAAATGAAAAAAAATGTTTTTTTTTTTTTTTAACTTTACAAATGTTGAGTAGAATCATTTTCTCTTCTGTGCATTTCAGTAAGTTTTGTAACTTGATCCAAATGCTCCTTAATAACAGCTGTATTTTGATCAACCCATTGAAGTGAATTCATATGTGCATTTAATATTCTACCAATTTGAACAATCTGAAATAAATTAATTGAAACAGTTATTTTTTGAACAGTTTACTAAAAACCTATAAAAAAATGTTTCATACAAATAACTTACTGGATCACTAGTATCTTGATTTTTGTTT